AGCTGCTCGATGTTGGAGGTCTTCCAGATCGAGAGTACTGGTCTCCAGGTAGCTATCCATGGGTGACTCCATACTAGAAGTTTCGCAGCTGTTTGGAGGTGACATGAAGGTCTTCTCCAGTCAGGCTGCGACTGGAGATGACTTCATATTTTGGTGTACATGAAGGTGATGGGCGAGAGCCAGCTCCTGCTTATCGAGGAACATCTTGGGTATCTTCCGCCCTGGTACGTCCTCTGTCTGGGCTGCGAAAACTTTGCTGATATGTGACTCGGTCGAAGTGACTTTTGTTGCCCCCCCCCCCCCTGTATTTGCCGCAGTAATTCTGCGGTACGGCATTGCAGTGATACCAGGCTCAGGGCACATCGTTATTGGGGAATCCCCAATAGGGGGGTCGTATTTGGCCGCCAGGAGAGGGGTGTTTTCTCCCATAATCTCTGTTTTCCCTATAAGTTCATATCACTATAGTGTGATATATAAGTCCACTCCTGACAGAGTGAGGTTCAGTTAGTTTACGAAGTTTGCGGTTGTTTTCCCTATGTTACGACAATAAAGAAGCTATGCTACCCGACGTGCAATACAAGCTTCACAACAGGGGGGGGGGGGGCTGTGTTGGGAAAAATTTATTTTGATAGTTGATTTTTCTCGCTTCATGGACGTTGTAAAGGGGAGGGGGTCGTACTTGGTCATTTTGGGAGGGGGGTCGTATTTACGTTTTGGCGTTGTAGGGAGAGCTGGTTGACTTTTCGTGATTTTCGTGATTTTCTTGTTTCACATGTGCTATTTACCCCGCCCCCCGCCCCGCTCGACAACTCGTTTCGGTGAGGAAGGTCAGAGGACTGGGGGGAGGGGGAGGGGAGGAGTCGTACCAACTCCTAAAAAGAGGGGGGGGGGGTCGTACAGACTCGACTAAAAACCCCAACCAATGATGTGCCCTGACCAGGCTTAGCCTCGTCCGTACGACCTCTTCGTCAACTGAATGCTCGCCCGCACGTAGCAGGCCGCTTGGGCGGTTTCGGACGGGTTCACCCGTTTTGTCCCCGCCTACTGAAGAAACATCACTGACAGAATACTTACTAGCAACTTTTAGATCCGGCAACCGACATTGTTTGAATTATTGCCACAAAATTCGAAGTTCATTCCTTGCCGCATCACCTAGAATCAGAAGGCGGTTTCAGCACTCAGTAAGACGGAACTCCCTTGTATCTCTGCAATTTCATTGAAGCGACGCAGGGAAGGAACGGTATTGAGACCTGCTCATAAATAATCCTGGGAAAAATACATACTTACAGAATATCCCGAAAATATTCCATGCCGCCTGAGCCAGTGGGATTGTATATTTTTAGGCGTGCGTAACAGTAAAATGGGATGGAACCATACGACACTACCCTTTCCAATACACGGAACGTAATCATGCAAGAGTTTTTACATTAGATGGGATTAATACCTGTAACGATGTGATGATATTAGTGAGGTGAGTGAAATGATTTGCCAACATCAGTTAAAAGGGTTACTTGTCTCACATGACAATCGTCTCGATTAAAACAAAACAGAACTACAGTTTGAAGTCCCTTCTGAAAATTTTCATTATACCAATGGACGAAAAGTTGTTTTCCGGTAACTCGATAATTTTGAGAAGAATGCCATGCCGGGAAGAGAATTAATATGTAATATGTTTTTAATAGCGGCCGCGTAGCCTTCACCACCCACAACGAAATATCCTCAACTTACCATGGAGCTTGAGTGGGAACCTAAGTATACTCTTAGGCTGGAATCTCGCTTACAAGTATGGAAACCGAAACTGCATCTGCACCTCACTTCTCACATCTCATCTCACATCGACTTTAGATCAGTCAAAACCATTTCATTCGTGAAAATTCGTCCTCAATGCGTCTGTGACCTGGACTTTCGCCGTTTCCCAACCGAATGGGTGTGACATTCGTCTTCAGGGCGTGCTGAATTTGCTTGTGAGCCATCACTGTACTGCATTACTGTACTCTACCAGAAATGCGAACGCTCTTATTTAGCTTACGAATTGCCGTTAGCAATTTCGGTCCATATATTTGTAAACAGCAGTCAGACTCCCCCTATATACCTGGCTCCCATCTAAAGTTACATGTACAGTCTCATCACTACGGACTGTCGGGGCGGCACAGCCGCGCTGTGACGCGACAGCGGCTGCGGCTCGGTGACGGCGAATCAGCTGATTTCCATGGAATTCGGCTGCGAATTCCCACTTAAAAGTGGAAGGTGAGATTAAAAAATTTTAAATTGTACTGACTCTGAATGAATCTGAAAGAATGCAAGCCATTTGAATAAGCCTGAAATAAGGCAAAATACAAGGAAAAGAGCATATAATCGACATAAAAATAAAGGAAATCAGAGCCAGTACAATTCAAAATTGTTCAGAATAACTCACCTTCCACTTTAGAAGCTTGAAGAGCTGAAAAAGTAGGAATTTGCAGCCGAATTCCATCGAAATCAGCTGATTCACCGTCACCGAGCCGCAGCCGCTATCGCATCACAGTGCCCCGACAGCCCGTAATTATGAGGACTGCACATTGACGACGTTTTCTCGTTGTAGTAGGCAGGAGTTTCTTTCTCTAACAACGTTGGGATATTGATATCTTCCGATATTCCTAAATTTTTGCTACACAAAGTGTTGCCTTTCAAATGTTGTCAGAACCTATTGCGAGAACTGGCAATGGGTAGTTTTAAGGGAGCGTTCATGTTCTGCAGATGCTGCACTCCTAGCGACCCTAATTTTGTTGGGCTTGTCGCTTCAACTGGCTTTGTACGGATCAGCGCTCGCTAAGACGCACCTCGACGTACGCTAACGCTATACGCTGTAACGCGCTACCATTGTAGAAGCACTCCAATGGTACAGACGCAAGTGCAGCCAGAAATAAGTGTCGATTGGCGTCGATCACTAGTCTCTTGGGGGAGTATGGAGGAACAGGAAGGCACGAGAATCGCTACCAGTCTCCTCTCCCCCCAAGTCTCTCTCCAGCGGTACGTGACAACTTGGGGTTTTCTGCATCTCTTAAGAATCCTGAGCAAGCTAGGCTGTTGTTTGGCAAATCATCGAAAAAAAAAACCGTGCAGAAAGCAGTGAGGCAGGCGAGATGACTGTTACTGGACACTGCGACGCGTGCTAGCGCTTGCGGACCGCTACCTATCTGTCGTGCCGGGGGCGGCTTCCTGTTCCCCTCATGCCTGGCGTCATACCAGGTCGTGAGGCCCCTCTGACCTAGCATCGGTGTCTCGAGGGGAAAGGATCCGTCCTCGGCGCGAGGGTTTGCAGAGGACTTACGAACGCTTGCCTATGCTCGTCACGGTGCTGCCACGCGGGTGCTAAGGAGCTAAGCGCTACCGGTAGGCCCTTACTGCCCCTGCGCTAAATGTACCCTACGGTCACATACCTACTACCCTTCCACCTACGCCCTGTCCTCACTCCCTACCTAAGGATAACTGCTCCTACGGGCGTCCCCTTATCACGCCATTGACATCCTACTGGGACCAACAACTATCGCATCATGAATTGTACTATGAACTATGATAAAAACTACGATGAATAAATATGTGAGAAATGATGTGGATCAACCACTCTTGCTACACGACAAAACACAAGTAATTATTAAGTTTACCACTCTACGAAATACTGTGAGCAACAATAATAGAAAGAAAAAAAAACTACTAAAAGGAAAACTACTAAACTTAAGGTACGACCCCTAACCTACTGACGAACCCTGCCTGAGAACTGCCTACGGGCCACGAGGGTACAGCCCACTGGGGGCCTTGGACACACCCTCACCCTTGGCTGCCCAAGGGGTTCGGGTGCTCCTCCTCCTCCAGTGGTTACCTGGGATGTCCTTGTCCGGAGGCAGTAGTGCTTGCTGTCGAGTACGGCTCCTTGATATTGAAGCGTCGCCATTGTAGTCGGATAGTAGTAGTGAAGTTGGCATAAGACGACAAGCGAAGGAGCGACAGTCCGAATTACCGGCAGACGTCGAAGTGAGAGAGAAGCCAGAGTCGGCGGCGACTCTGCATCCCTAGCGGCTTCCAGAGTGTTCGACCGTAGCCGCTGAGCGCGCCAGGACCGCCGCGCACCCCATAACGCGACCCTTTAAAAAGAGTCGTACGAAAGTCACGACACTATCTTATCCTTCCCGTTAATGCCCGACAATCAGGGCAGCAAGGAGGGAGCGAGTCGTGCCGCCCTTCCCCCCTTTTTGACACCACTATTTCACATATCATGATGCTGTATCCTATATGGTTAACCGCCTACACGATGAGCGGGAATTCAACGAGGAGCTTCTCATCTTTTATCGATCTTTCCTGCTGTCGCAACAAACTGTTGTAAATGGACGACGTAAGTTTTCACTGAGTTATTAAAGGCAAATGGCATGATAAATCCCGAGGTACTCTTATAGCGCCCTATCAAGCTGCAACACACTGACTCGGACGCCCACGTCGCCCGTTCGCCCACAAATGTCCGACCGATGCTGATGCTCGTATCGTTTCATTTGCGAAGTACAATATGAAGCGAAGGGATTGATATGAAGCGGTGCGATGCTGCATGGATATATGAGTACACACATAACGTGACTACCTAGTGGCTATTGCGACGATGCCGGAAACTCGTCCGAAATCGCTTTTTGGGTCATAAAGAACGAAGGTTTTTTTGCAGCTCTTCGACCTCTCCACCCCGCTTTTTCGGCATTCTCTCCTTAGCACCCCTGCTGCCATTTTAGACTGAGTATCACATTATCGTGCCTCCATGCCTTCAACTAGCAAGAGACCGAGCAAAGCAAAAAGCATGTGAAAACTGCCTCAAGTGTCATCTCCGCGTTTGGTTGAACTGCCACGACAGTATTCTTGGTGAAGTGCAATTGTAGAACTTTTTCTTGTCGAGGGATTGATTCTCAAGATGAGAATCCTGTTGTGCATGTTGTGCTTTCCTGCACATTCTTCATTTCAATTCCAATTTTTTAAGATTCCATATGTCGACAGAAACGCCAATAAAGGACACGGTGCTCCTTGAAAGACCTATACCAAGGCGTCATTGGGAGCTGACAAGTGACAAGATTAAGATGATACAGAAGGTTGGATCTGGTACATTCGGCGAGGTGTGGTGGGGTACGATGCGAGAGGGTCCCGATAGGCCAATGATTAATATAGCCATTAAATTGGTGAGATTTTTCAAGTATCTATAAGGTATGATTATGCAGTTATGATTTTTCCTAAAGAAGACAAGGATATTGCTCCCTTTAGACAAAGTTAGTACAAGAGAGCCAAGCATTAGTTGATCAAATGTTCAAAGAAGCACGTGTGCTACGGCAGTACAAACACAGGTGGGGACGCACTTAACGACAGGTCAGTGTGTCAGAAAGGGGCACAGATTCCTTCAGGAATATTGTTACATTTTACGGAGTTATACGAAAAGGTGACAACAATGCCATGATTGTATTGGAGTTTGTTCCTGGTTGCTCGCTGAGCGAATTTTTGAAAAAGAAACAAGACGTACGTTCCTCTTCGTCTGAACAGAAGTTATATAGTTTCTTATATAAGTTGGATAAGCACACACTGTGTTGGTGTATAACTGCGCGCGATGTTTTTGATGGGCATTTTTACCTTGAAGAAAAGACTTCTTCGCTTTCTATGTGTAGAGGTTCGCCGCGCGTACCTTCTTATGTTTCCAAGTTCGAGTACTACTTTTCTTTAATCTGTACACATGGTCAACCAATAGCACCTCTTCTGCTATTCTC